TGGGGTGGAGGGCGGGGCTGGCCGATGCAAGGCCCGCGCTGCGTCCCCGAGAGGCTGCCTCGGGGCCGGGGGCGGCGAGGGCCTGCGCCTCGGCGGCAGGGCGAGGGCAGCCTCCGCGCGGGGCTTTCTGCAAAAGGGCGGAGGGGCAACTCTGCCCAGCCTCCCTGGGCTGTCCAGCTTGGTGGCCGGACGGTCCTGCCTGCGGGACTTTCTCTTCTGCTGCTTCAACTCAAAACTTCGGGGGAAGAAGAAGAGCTGCGAGCAGAGAAGGGGGCTGCGACCTCCTGGGGGGGCTCCGGCTGCTCCCCTTGTTGTTCGGGTAACGCTTGCAGCCTTTTACTGGGGCATCCGGCCACCCTCCCCCTCCCGAACAGTCTGCACGTTTTCGGTTTTGCAATTAGTCCTGCTATACTTTAGCCTGAAGGCTCAAAGACTGAGCAGCAGGTAAGCACTAATACCTTTCCTGCATGCAGCTCTAGCCACTTCCGGGGCGAGGAGGGGGAGGCCTGTTTCCCAGCCCCAGGGGTCCCAAACCTGCCAGAGCTGCTCCCCACCCATATGCTTTGGCAGCATTTCCATTGCGCATCATGCTGAGTTGTGATCTTCTACAAGGAGCTGCAAGCTGGCCTCTCCTGCAGTGGGCTGACCTGTTCTGATGAGTCACTCGGGTGGGGGCACGGCAGGGGAAGAGGCGGTGACATCCCAGTATCAGGATGGGCCCAGGACTTGGGAATAAGAGGGGCAGGCGGGAGGCAAGGATTGGCAGGGAAACCAGGGCCCACAGAGATGGTGGCTAGAGCTGAGGAATGTCTTTCAGGCAAGCGTCTGCGTGTCTTTCAGCGGAGAACAGGCCTTCCTTTTGGGGAGATGAGTGTGAGGAGGGGGGCTTCTTCCCCCCCACCTCCCCACTTTTCATACTCCATCCCAACCGAGTTTCTCTCTCTCCTCATAGCAAACCGAAAGAAGCCACCTTCAACGCTGGTGAGTGGATGCAGCCATGGTGCAGGGGGGCGTCCAGCTCATTTAATGCAAACTGGGGGCAGCCCAGAGGAAGGAAACCGACATGGGAGTGTATCTGAGAGCCAAGGGTGCAGCCAGAAGTTTGCCAAAGGGCAGGGCGCAGACCAGTCCAAGAAGAGGACCTGAGATGGCATTGGGCCTCCTCCTTTGCAGAGTGTCCCTCTGTGGCACCGCACAAGGATGAGCTTCTTGCTTGCCCTGCGCGCAGCCCTCCTGTGGGGTGGGAGTGTACCGAGAGCTGGGCACTTAGAGACTGGCACCAGGCCCGTTGGGGGGCAGGCGAGGCCACAGGCAGCTATCCTACCTGAGTGGCCTCCCTCCCCTTCTTTCCTGCAGAGGATGGTTACGTAAAAATGTTCCTGCGGGGGCGCCCCATCCCCATGTTTGTCCCTGATGCCGTGGTTGCCACCTACAGCCTGGATGCCAAGCTGGAGCTGCCGCACAAGAAGCTAAAACTGGACTGGGTGTATCCTGCTCAAAGCAGCGTCCCTCGGGGAGGGAGGGAGGGGCGCCGGGACCCGGACTCCTGGCTTCCAACTTCCTTGGCTCCGAGGCTGGTTGCCGGGGCTGCAAATCCGTCTTGCGTTTTCCCTTGACCCGCGGGCATCTGCTGCAGATATGGGTATCGGGGCCGGGACTGCCGGGCCAATCTTTTCCTGCTGCCCACGGGAGAGATTGTGTATTTTGTGGCTGCTGTGGCAGTTCTCTACAATGTGGAGGAGCAGCGGCAGCGCCACTACCTGGGCCACACCGACGATATCAAGTGGTAAGGCCGCATGGGACAGTGGTCGTGTTGCCCTTCCCCTCTTTGCTCCATTAGCTGGGGAGGGGCGCAAGTCGGGCGAAAGAAAGATGTGCTGCCAGTTTAGCAGAGGGCACCGCCCTCAGCAGAAGGTGGCAGCTTGCCAGAATTGAGGAATCGCTTGGGAAAATGGTACAACCACGGTCCTAGTAAGGGATGAACGGGGAGCTCCGTGGGGTGCCCTGCAGACCTGCAACCTGGGCCCTGTCCTCTCCTGTCCCCCTTAGCCTGGCTGTGCATCCGGACATGGTGACCATAGCAACCGGACAGGTGGCCGGGACGTCAAAAGACGGCAAGGTGAGGGACGGGGCCTAGGGGAGACGAGCACCAGAGACAAAAGGGCAGCTGTAAATGTGGGGAAGGAGATTGGCCGGAGAAAATCCCCCTCAGTTCAGAGCTGAAACGATGCTGACTGAGGAGGCTGGCGGTTGGGTTGCATCGCTGCGCTAGCTGCTTTGGGTGCTGGGTGCGGAGGGTCAGGTAGGAGCTGACCTGCTAATAGACCAAAATGGCGCGGCCCCCCTTCCTCCCCGACGCCTTCAGGATGTTCACCGCCTGGATACGAAGGTCCCACAGCCCAGAGGATCTTACTGTTTATTCCTGCCGTGGCTAGTAGCCGATCGTGAACCTCTTCTCCTCCGTGAACGTGCCCGCTTGCCTTTCCTTTTGCTAACACAGCCAGTGGCAACAAGTTGCCCAAGTTGATTTTGCGTTCTCTGCGGAAATCCCTTATCGTAAGGCTGCTTCCTGCACCCCCCGTAGGCGCTGCCTCCCCACGTGCGTATCTGGGATTCTGTGAGCCTGAACACGCTTCACGTCCTGGGACCGGGACCCTTTGACCGAGCCGTGACCTGCGTGGGATTCTCCAAGTCTGTGCGTGAGACCCTCTCCTACTTGCCTCCTGGAATCTCTTTCCTTCCCTGGCCGCAAACGGACAATTTTGAGGGACCTTCTGGGATCCCCCAAGTTGTGGCCAGATTAGAACGTGGGCCGGTCTTGGTTTGGAGCATTTGAACCTTGCAAGGCACATGCAGGGTGAGAAGTAAGATAGGAATGCTCTGTGATCTTTGCCTCTTCTTGCTGGGCTACAGCGGGTGTTGTACAGAAGAGATTCTTCTGTTGAGACTTTAGAAAAATTCTGGGTGTGCCGGTTGAAGGAGCAGACTGAGCCGTCTGTGTGCCAGAACTCACACCTCCCAGAGATTCAGTCTGAAGTGAAATTTGTAGCCGAGCGTGATTTCATTTTCTTAGCTCTTCACGGTGCTGCTGTAGTTAGTCTCTGATAGGACACAGTTTTTAAAAAATGAAGAGAGGATGGCGCAAGCTTTTAAATCATCCCTGCCACCAACCTTTGCTTAACCATTGAACAAAACGGAATAGATCTGTGCTAGGAGCGACTTGCCCAGGCTGAACGACTCTTTGGGGGCGAGCGTTTTCCTGCCAGACTCAGCCCTCCCTGTCCTCTGCCCAGAATGGGGGCGGCCTCCTGTGTGCCGTGGATGACTCGAACGACCACGTGCTCTCCGTCTGGGATTGGCAGAAGGAGCAGAAGTTGGCTGACGTGAAGGTAACCGCCTGGCTGTCCAGGTTCTTCCCACCAGAGCCGCGTCGCTTCTCCAAATCCCACCCGCGCGTTCCGCGTCTGACATGCTCGCCTTCCTTCCCAAGTGTTCCAACGAGTCTGTTCTGGCCGCCACTTTCCACCCCACGGAGCCAACCCTCCTCATCACTTGTGGAAAATCCCACATCCACTTCTGGACCCTGGAAGGAGGCAACCTCAGCAAAAGGCAGGGCATCTTTGAGGTGAGAGCAGGATCAACAAAGGGAGGAGGGGGAAGCGGTGGCCGGGGGAGCAGCTTGGGGGGTTTCCCTGCCCAGTCTGCTTGCAGGTGGGCCACCTCCTTGTCCATGGGTGTCCACGGGCCTTGCGCAGGAGACCTTACCGGTGTCCAGAAATACACCGGCCCTTTGCCTAAACTAGTTGCAGGTTGTAAATTCTGGCAGAGCACAGAACTCTGCACAATGCAGGCTCCGGACAGCCCCCCGCCCTCTTTTTCAGGGGCTTGGGATCTCAGAAGAGCTTCCCTCTTGCCTTCTGTTTCTCAGAAGTAGGATAAGAAAGAGATTTAGATTTTACACGTTATGTTTCGGGTGTATTAGTTCAGCGGCGTGTGATCGTTATGCGTGAAGACGGACTGTTTCCTGCGATTTTATGCAGCGAAGTTTTATACCTGCACAAAGCCCCAGTGGTGACGTTAGGGTGAAGGGCAGTGCTCTAAACGTGCCTTGCACGGAGACCGTTTGGGACTCATCCCTTTGTTCTCCCCCCTACTTTCTTTGCAGAAACACGAGAAACCCAAGTATGTTCTGTGTGTGGCTTTTACAGAGAACGGGGACACGGTGACCGGCGACTCTGGAGGGAACCTCTACATCTGGGGGAAAGGTCTGTTGGGTGGAGGGCAAGGCAGAGTGTAATTGAGGGGCGGGACCCCAAATGGCTCTCTGGACACCCAGGGTCAGGTGTATTAGCTTTGCAGTAAGCCGGGGTTTGTTGATTAAATCTCTGCTGGCTTAGTTTATACAACCCACAATGTGCAAATCGAACCACTAAATCATACAAGCCAATCTGTTTTTACTTTGGAGCAACGCCTGGTGATTTCGTGCTTTCCGCAGGCAAACGTGATGAAGACTGTAAACCTGCATGTCCGTTCTGTCTGGGACAGGAGTCAGCATCCCAGACCTGGTGGCTCAGGGTGGGCAGGATATGCCTGTATGCCTGCTGTTTATCAATAGTTGTCCCTCGCTGACAGGGGGGAACCGGATTTGTCATGCTGTGCCAGGAGCCCATGAGGGTGGCATCTTCGGCTTGTGTGTGCTGCGGAACGGGACCATCCTTACAGGAGGCGGCAGGGATCGCAGGGTTGTGCTCTGGGGACGGGATTACCAGAAGCTGCAGGAGAATGAGGTAAGAACTGGGTTCAAACAACCTGCTTACTGAACCGAGGTTAATTACAAGGATGCCCGAAACAGCAAGAGAAACTTGGCTATTAGTCTTTAAACAGAGGAAAGCGCTTGCTCTACATGTGAACATCTTTCCAACCCAAAATATGTTGTATCCCCGTTTAAACAACCCAGTTCCCATCACTACGTGCCTGTGAGTTGTTAACGTACTCTGGGTCACTCTTCCCTGAGGGGGCTGTTTCTGTCTGCCTCTCCCTCTGCAGGTCCCCGAGGGCTTTGGGCCTGTGCGCACCATTGCTGAAGGAAAGGGCGATTCTCTTTTTGTGGGCACCACCCGTAACTCTGTGCTCCACGGGTCCTTGTCTACCGGCTTCTCTCTGCTGGTGCAGGTAACGGGGTCTGCTAGGAGGGCCTGTGGGACCCGGGCTACCCTCATGAAGAGGCCAGACCCAGTAACAGGGTCCAGGGCCAGCTGACCCCCCACCCCTCCTACCAGGGACACACAGAAGAACTTTGGGGTCTGGCCACCCATCCTACCCTGGACCAGTTCCTGACCTGCGGGCAAGATAAGCAGGTTCATCTGTGGAGTGTGGCCACCCACCAGCCTCTGTGGAGCAAGGGAATTGAGGTGAGCACAGGATCTTCTGCCAGAACTGACGGGGTTCCTTCCCAATCAGCGGTAACGCAGACCACCTCCAGGGCTCCAAGTATACTGTCTGAATGTTTTTCCCTCTTCCAGGATGCGGCTCGCTCAGCTGGCTTCCACCCCAATGGTTCGGTACTGGTGGTGGGCACTGTCACGGGCAGGTAATGGGGGCAGCGAGCACTGGAGCTGGGAGGGGGGGTGGAAGACAGTCTCTGGAATCCTCTCACTGTAATGCTCTGGCACTCTGCTGCCCCTCTGAGGGGTCTGGGATGGCTAGAATGGCTGCCCAAAGAGGGAGCAAAATGGAAGTGAACTGCGGAGGGGTCTTGGGAATCTTGGGGAAGGGCAGAGGATCCCCTTGGCCCAATTGCCTGGGGCCTCTGGGTGCAGAAAGACTCAAGTGCAGCCGTTGAGCCAAACTTCATGCTCCTGGCACAGAGTAGACCTGCTACCCTGTTCTTGCTCACTCTCTTATCTCCTTGACACTGCATGCTTGCTTTGCTTTCGATCATGGAATTGGGGAAGGTGCAGAGGAGCAGAGACTTCTGCAGTCCCCTGGGGTGTTCTGGCCTGCCATCACGTCTCTCCCTCCCCTTCTGCTTTCAACCAGGTGGCTAGCGCTGGACACGGAGACCCGAGATCTGGTGGCCATTCACACGGATGGAGGAGAGCCCATTTCTGTTGTCAGCTTTTCCCCAGGTTGGAAAAGTGGGGAGCTACGTACAGGCGGGGGTTAAAAGAATTCGCAAAATCCAGGCTGTGGCATCTTGGATTTTGGTGTTTCAAGCTGGTTTGGGTTTGCAAAAGGGAAGCCAGCACAGTGCCCTCCTAGCAGCTCATGTCCACGTCCTTCTGTGAAGAGGACGCAAAAGACACAAAAACCGTCAACGGCGATTTCTCGGGGTCTGAGCAATAGATGCTGCCCGGGGGATTCCCCCCACCCCCCAACATTGTCTCTGCCCTGTTGCCTCACACGAGCCCTTTCACTTGACTCTCCTTTTATGCTTTGCAGATGGGAAGTATCTGGCTTTGGGGTCCCACGATAACTTTGTCTACATCTACCTGGTTTCTGAGGGTGGCAGGAAATACGGACGGGTTGGCAAATGCTCCGTGAGTGGAGGGTCCCTGGGGAGAGCGGGCATTTCTGAGTGGGATCGTCAGGGAGGGCCCCCAGGGCGGCCTAGCATACATTCGAGCAGCGAGCCAGGCTCGGCTGGATAGTCCACGGCTGCCAGGCGTCACCCGCTGGGTCTCCGAGTTCTCATGGAGCTGTGAAATTCCTTGGGGGAGGGGCCTGCAAGCCCCCGATTCTTCTGGGAGTTCAAAAGAAGAAAGCAAGCAAGCATGCGTGTGTGAGAGTATTCCCCCATAGGCATTTTTAAAGAATGACCTTGAACGTCCTCCTTGCTTCAGGGTCACTCCAGTTTCATCACCCATCTTGACTGGGCCTTTGACAGCAGCTGTTTGGTCACCAATTCGGGGGATTATGAGATTCTGTATTGTGAGTAGAAGACCCTGAAGAGGGCTTGTCATCGCTGCCGTGTCCCTGTTTGGGGAGGGGATCCCCCCCTTTAGCTTTTAAGTCAGCTTCTTCAGTCCATTGGAGCTGGAGGATGGTTTTGTTCCTTTCCTGCCCAGGGTTGGGTTCCTGTGCACTTCAGGGGTGCACGGCCCCCGCTTCTCCTCCCCGATGGAGGGAATCACGTTAAGGCGGAGCCAGACTGTCCTCTGCGCTTGTTGGCTCCAGAGAACGGAGGAGCTCTCGTTATGGGCCGGGGCCGTCTCTGGCAGCCTGGAGTGTGCACGGAGCCCTTCTGTTAGTGGCCTCTTCCCGCTTCGTCCGAGCAGGTTGCAGAGCCAACTGGCACCCACCTCTGTGCGCAGAAGGGCCGGGTCTGGGCACAGCCCTCTCGAGGTGGTCCCTGTGGCTGCTCCCCCCGGTTGCTGTCTCTGAACCGCTGCTGGCAGAGTCACTCAGAAAACCCCAGGCTGAAGCACCGAGCTTCCTTCCTCTCGGGGTGCAGCTAGTGTAGGTGCAGGCCTCTAACCTGCCTTCCTGCCTGTCCTTCCCCGACCCAGGGGACCCCTCCACGTGCCGGCAGATCACCAGCGCCGAGGCTGTGCGCAATCTGGACTGGGCTACGGCCACCTGCGTGCTGGGCTTTGGGGTTTTTGGTGAGTGCCCTTGGCTGAACGGGCTCGGGGGCCAGGAGGATGCCTGAGCCGGGCCAGAAGGGGGCAGCACAGGCCTGGGCATGCCCGGAAGGCCTGGGCGTGCTGCGCTGCCCACCCGCACCTTTCCCAGGGCGCTTTTTTAAGAGCAGCGTTGAACTTCGGAAACCCGCCTGCACGGGGATTTGGCTCAGACACAGCCAACGTGTCCCGTGATTGGGATCCCAGCTTCGCCCAGAGGCACCAACTGAAAGCCCCACCTCTGCCCCATCTTTTTCCTCCTCTGTGGTTGCGTGCCATTGGAGGCCCTGGCGGTGCAGTTTGGTTTCCCAGGGCGGGGGGCAGGTGACAAGAGGGGGCCGGGTGGCACAGAAGCTTCAGCCTCTTGCTGGCCCTTCTGGACCGTTTTTCCTGCCCTTGCAGGGATCTGGCCAGAGGGCGCGGATGGCACTGATATCAACGCCGTGTGCCGCTCCCATGAGGGGAAGCTCCTGGCATCTGCCGATGACTTTGGCAAAGTGCACTTGTTCTCCTACCCCTGTTGCCAGCCGCGGGTAAGCAGCTCTTCGGGGCCTCTCTCCGCCCTTTGCCTGACCCCTCTCTTCCCCCTCGCTCTGGGGGTGGTCACGTTCACCCGGCTGCCTGGGGCTCGCAGGTGTGGAGGGAGGGGGGTCACCCAGAAACCTAAAAATTGCCCGTCCCGGAAGTCTAATGCCACGAAGCGGCTTCTGGGCAGGGAGCTGCCCAGGCGCTCCCGGTGCCTGCGGCGACGTCCCGCTCTGGAGGAGGGGGCCCGTATCATTGGATTTTGAGAGGATGAGAAAGCCGCCCCTGCGAGCCGTGGGGGAAGAAAGAGAAGCCCAGCCGGAGCGAAGCACGCCTCTCTGTGCTTCAGGGCTTCGGCTCCGAGGGTGGCGCGAAGCCAACCAACTGCTGCCTTTTCCACAGGCGATGGCTAGCGAGCTCCAGCAAGCCCGACCAGCCTCCGGCCGCCTCCTCCCCCTCTGTTGCCATTTCTCTTTCTGCAGGCCCCCAGCCATACTAACAGCGGCCACAGCAGCCACGTCACCAACATCGCCTTCCTCCACGATGACAGCCTGCTGCTCTCCACCGGCGGGGTTGACACCAGTGT